CAGTGCATCTCCTGTCCCAGGAAGCTGTCCTGGCCACAGAGAGTGAAGGAGAAAGTGGAGTCATGGAATGGAAGGAGCAGAACCACTTCCTGGCTGACACAGCTCCATCTCCCTAGAACGGTCCCAGGGTCCCAGTTACTGAGGTGGACACTAAGGCCCCACCCCGGGGCAACTCTGCTATCCCCAGTGCCCAGAGGAGAAGACAAAGCGGGGATGGCAGGGCACATGTCAGTTCCAGTCATTACCGGTGGGGTCCAGCTGTGCTTGGCCCACTCAGCCATAGCATTGCGGGATCACACCTCTACCGCGCAGGCTCCTGTCTGCTCCAGGCTGCAGAACCTCACCAGCCGCTGCCTGGGATGAGGGCCTGGCCTGCAGCATCCCGAGGTATTTGTCCCATGGGCCATGTGGCTGTGGGTCTGTGTCCCCTTGGAGGGCTGGGCCCTCAGCTCCCTCAACAGGGCCCAGAGGAGCAGTGGCCCTGTCCTCAGGACAGTAGTGCATGGGCACTGTCCCTAGTCCTCTGTAGAGGCAGCCTCAGGGACTGGCCCCGGGCTGCTGCCTGTACCACTCTTAGGGATACACACCAGAGTGCGGGGTGTACTTTCCTGCCTTCCATCTCCTCATGGGGGATGGGACGGCCAAATGGCTTCATCTCTGTTCACGCAGACCCAAACAGTCCTTGGACTGGCCACAAACACTAACCACCTGCTGGAATTTGTGAACAAATTTCAGGATGGCCGCGAGGGTCCCCAGAGTCCTCCAAGGGGCAGTAGATGACAGGAGCCATAGAGGAATGGTTCCTTTCAGCTCTTAAACTTTCTCCATCTACCAGAGCCTCTGTGGAATGACAGTGAAGTGACCCTTTTAAAGGAAGTAAACCCAAGACACAAAAGAACAAGGCAGAGGTGATGGGAACCAGTGCTTGGCAGCTGGGAAGGGACACATGGTTGCCCAGGCCAGGGAAGCAGATTGGTCCTGGGACCCAAGCAGGCCTGCAGCGGCTCAGGGCAGGAAGCTACTTACCCTCAGATGACAGCCATAGCCACTCCAGCAGGGGTAGAGGGAGAAAGTGGCTCTTGGCCTGTATCCTCCTTGGGGACAACCCGGTTCCCAGTGGCTGGAGGGCTCCTTTCAAAGAGGCTGATGCCCCCCAGCCGCAGAGATCAGATTCTAAACACTGCTGGAATTTGTGAACAAATTTCAGGATGGCTGCAAGGGTCCCCAGAGTCCTCCAAGGGGCAGTAGATGCCAGGAGCCATGGAGGAATGGTTCCTTTCAGCTCTTAAACTCAAGTGGTCCATTGGGCTGGGGTCACTCTTGGACAGTAACTGTCCTGAAGCCCCTTAAGCTCCATCAGGGGTGCAGGGTTGCTGGGGAATCAAGGACATGGGCTTGGGAGACCGAGGTTCAGAGCAAAGAGCAGGGGACTAGCAGAAAGAGCAAGCATCGAGGAGGAGGATGGTGCCTAGGAAGGACAAGAACCACAGGGGCCCAGAGCCTCCCCCACTGTGAGAGAGACTTTAGCTCCCACAGCGAGCTCAGGGTCATGGAAAAGCTGGCCGGGAGGAGTGGGCCCAGGGCAGGAGAAGGAAACACAACCTGCACACACCACAGGCGTCTGAAGGTCCTGATCTGCTCAGAGGCTGCGGGTGGCAGGTGGGGAGGAATGCCTGTGGGAGGGGCAGAGGCTGGAAGCCAGTCCTCCTCCTATAAGCAGCTGGCAGTGGCGGCTGAGTGTCTGTTTCGTTATGCAGCGGCAGCCTGGCTCTATGCAGTGGCCTCTGGGCTCGGGGCCGGGAGCGGCCACCACCCTGTGCTGAGGCCTGCACGTCTGGCCAGGTTTTAGACCATGCAGAAGTGCTCAGATACAAATATGCTTCCAAGTTTAAAGAAAGTGTGAGGGGACACTGGGACCTAGCCCTGGGTTCGGTGGACTCAGCCAGTGGCCTGGAGATTGTGTGGAGGAGGCCTAAAGGCATGGACCTGCCATTCTCCACGTCCCCTGAAGAGCGTACAGCTCCTCCACACAGAACCAGTCAGGGCCGGAAGTGGCCACTTTCCGATTAGCTAAGATCGGTTTGACCTTGTGTCCTAATGATGCCTTACCCCCTACTCACTTCTGTGGACTTCACGGTCCCAGTGAGGGGTGACCTGGACACAGGTCCACATCTGTGCTGGGGTCTGGGGTTGTACAGTTCCCTCCACAGCCGCATCTAAGTGAGACCCCGCTTGGGAGGTCCTGGGGTGCATATGCACGGATCAGAACTCTGAGCAGATGCTTGATCTCCCTCTGCCTCACAACAGGGATGGTGTCTGAGGCCCCATCTCCAGGTTCCCTGCACACTGGCCACGTGCCCTTGGGGTGTCACCTGACTGAGCCCTGCCCCACGTGTTCATGGCTGTGCTGGTGCCGATAGATGGTCCTGGAGGTGCCCAGAATGGCCAGCACAGGAAAGCGGTGAGGAACCATGCAGGGTTTATGTTGTTCTGTCAGAAGCACATGAATTTTGTGTGACTGGAGACACACACTCTGCAGAACGCACAGGTGTTGGCACTGCCAGGGCCCCAGGACTGGGGGATGAGCCCAGGCACCTGCACCTGTCCCCGCTGGCCTCCCCCTTCCCCAGGCTGCCAGCGACCTGGGCTGCAGGGCTGTGCCCTGAGGTTTCCTGAGACCTGGAGTAGGCAGGGTCCCAGAGTCTCCAGCCCCAGCCCCACTGGAGATCATACCCTGGCTCTCAGTGTGGCACCCTCTAGCCTAAGGCTGCTCTGCCCTCCAGGTCCCCACCTGCAGCTCCCTCCATTCGACCTGGCTGTTCCTGGGGTGATGAAGTCCAGGCCAAAGCTCTATGGTGTCCACACCAGAACCCTCTGCCATCTCCAACCTGCCCTGTCCACTGCATACGTGACTCTGGCAGGTGGGGGGGGGTGCCTGTCCCTCCACCCCCACACATCAGGTCCCTGGCTGTAAAGCCTGCAGGGCCATCGAATTCCAGCCAGATTAACTGCCCAAGTGCCCAGCATGGCCTGGGGCCTGCATAGTCAGCGTTCCCCTCCCTGGCTTGGCCCTTGCCTCTCCCATGCTCCTCAGCCCCCACTGTCCCTGGAGCCAGAGACCTGCAGCTCTCATACCACCCTGTGCCCAGCTCCCTGTGAAGGTCCTTGGCGATGGCCATGTGAGCACTACACTGGGCTTTGCTGTTCTGGGCTCAGTGCTGACACCACAGAATCGGATTCACCTGCACGGCTCCCTGGACCCTGCAGGGGCTTTGAGCACCAGCCTCAGCCTAGTAGGGCTTCACTCAGGGTACTTGATCCCTGCATGCCAGTGGGTCATTGATAAATAGGTTCTGTCCCTGTAAATGCTCTGACTTCACACGCCAAGTACATGTGACCATAAGCGTGGCTCGTCCTCATCCGCATGTACACACCTGTGCACATGCATACTCACGGAAGCTGTGTGCCTCCCGTGGGCTGGGGTCAGGGACAGCAGGTCCTGGTGGGCCACAGAGGTGTGCCACCAGCTTCTGCCACCACATTGGCCCCATTGAGCTCCCAGGGGATTCCACTGGACAGCACCTCCCCTCCAGTGCCACTGTTCTCCAGCTGCTGGGGGATGCTGGACATCAGTGTGTTATGTGTGACCCGTGGGGAACCACCTGTGGACACCAGTGGTGGCAGTGCAGTCCCGTGTCCTGCCCTGCTGGGAGTCACCAGAATGCGTTGAGGCCTAGGCGGGAAGACAGGGAAGGGTATGTGACGGGTGAATGCTGCTAAGGGTGACAGGTGTCTCACCTGCACAGCTGTGTGCGTTAACAGTGATCTCGAGGTACGCCGTGACTGGAATGTGAACAGGGTGCAGTGGGGAGCAGGAGCCCAGGCCTCAACAGGCAGATTGAGGGCTGGTGTGGAGCTGGTCCTACCCTGCCTAGCCATGGGTGTTTACGGCAGGGAACAGACAGGAAGTGTTTTTCTCCCCGTCCCCCTCCCCTCCCACTCCCCTCCTGCTCCTCGCCCCCCCCCTGCATGCTCACCTTCCCCTCCTTCCTTCCTTCCCTCCACCTACCTGTTTTGTCTTACCATTGGTGTTTGAGAGCCCATGCGTCCTTTCTGGGCTCCAACTCAACCTGGAGCCCCTCCATCAGCCCCTGCTGTCTGGGAATCTGTGCCCAGCTCCGAGTCTCCAGCTTGCCAGGTTGCAGGGAGGAGCCAGGGCCCACATGAGGCCCTGCTCAAGATCACATGACTTATGACTACCAGGCTAGGAAACAGAACCGGGCTGGCGCCACCCCTCCAGTAGCATCAGCTTCCCTGCTTCCTTGTGAATTTCTGACTATGCTGGGGTCTCGAGGGAGATGGCTTTGTACTTTGTCTTAGTTGCTTCCTTGTTGCTGAGACTCAAGACCTGACACCAACAATTAAAGGAGAGGTTTATCTTGACTCACGATTTCAGTGCATAGTCTGCTCTGAGGCAGGACAGTCCGGCAGAGGAGCATGGGGGACAGGAAATGGAGCGAGACCCAGGGAGGAGGGCGGGGGGGGGTCAGTCCCTTCCAGGCCACAGCCACAGAGAGCCCTCAAGCCCTAGGACCCACCACCTTCCTAAGGCGCCACCCAGGAGTGCCCGAGTGTCATGCAGACACCTGGGTCTGAACAGCAAGGAACTTGGAACTCTGAGCTTTTAGAGTTCCTACACCTGGGTGGAGTTATGTTTCCCTGGGAAATCATGAAAGAAGACCTGGTGAAACCCCACCCCCCACCCCGCCCCATGGATGTTCTGAGTGGAGAACAGTCTTCCAGTGTTGCTTGGCTGTGGTAGTAATCTTTTATTAGTAAGGCAAACAGATTCCCCTAATTGTTCGAAATCACCTCTAGACTGATAAGCAGGCAGCATAAGTATTTTATAGGTGTAATTCAATTAATCTACAAAGAAAATATCAGCTGCATGCATGTAAACACACCGGGTAAGCTGTACATCTTCATTTCTTCCACCCCAGTGGCAGAGACTGAAGAACAGACTATAAAAACTGCACCGAGGAAGTGATTCCCTCCTTATGGCTGTCAAATTAGCACCACCCACCCGTGGTTGGCTGCGGAGTGCTGTGATCCCGCGCGGGCTGGTGGTGGGACACCACATGCGAGCCATGCATTGAGTCAAGGTAATGTACCAGAAAACTCCGCCGGAAAACACTAATCTCCATCTAGATCAGTAGCCACCCTGCGTACCACTGAGAAGGGAGGGTGTTTTCAAACCGTTTGTGAACCTGGAGTCTGAGTCAGGTTGGAACTGGTAGGGCGGCCCAGGCCAGTACCACCTGACCATCAGGGTCACCTCCAGGGGTCCCAGGTCACCCAGTGTGGTCCAGACCTCCAGGCCCGCTTGCTGTCGACCGCCCAGACAACCCCAGCATTCTAGCGCGGACTAGCTCCTGCAAACAGCTCCCCTTCTCTCTTCTGTTCCACTTTGCTCCATGTACCTCATGCAGCGTGGAACAGGACCCCCAGGCCCAGACCTCGGTGCACCCTTGTGCCATCAACCACGCAGGAACTGGAGAGTGCAGGGCCAGCTGGATTTCATCAACATGGCCTACACAAAGAAAGGGAAGCGTGAGGTGTGTTATTTTCATCCCTCGATGACACCAGCAGCCCAACAGTTTATTATCTTATTATTGAGCAGTGTCTCCAACAAGAGACTCTGTCTCCTCGGCTGTGTCATGAAAGCTGTTGTTCAGTTTTAAGGAACAGTTGGTATCAGAGACCACAAGGCCAGCACAGGTGCCTTCGAGGATACTGGCCCCGGCCTGCCCAGTTTTCTTTCTGCAGGGCTCTTCTTCCCTTTGCTCCCCAGTAGCGTCACCCCAGCATATTTTAACTTACCTGTGTGAACCTCACCAAATGTGGAGAGGGACTGAGTGCTGTTGTACCCCTGGGCTGCTGGCCCTGTAGACTTGGGGCAAGAGAGTTCTCTGGGTCAGTCTCGGGCGGCTGCTGTTGTTATGATGGTGAAGGCCAAGCCTTTTACATCACAGTAAGGGCTGCTGACCGTTAGGCGTGCAACACCTGGAAGATCACACATTCATTCAACACCCACATTGCATAGCAGCAATTTGGGGCCCATGGGCTGCAGAGCAGGACACTGAAGGTGAACTCTGCCCTGAAAGACAGGCTGGGAGTGACACTCCGTGTGTGTTGGGAGGTGTTTGCTCCTGCAGTTCATATTTACACAAGCACAAGCATTATCATGTACTAGGGACACCCTTGTGGCCCCAAGACAAGGTCTGACTGGGACACATCCAAAGGGTTGAGCAGACAGGAAATTTCTCCATGTAATTTCTTGGACAAATCAGGTGCATTTTATATTCCTTGTGTTACTATAATGAAATGCTGTGGTGCATGCATGCATGTGTGTGTGTGACTCTGAATGCAAGTAAAATAAAGAAAAAATGCCTGTCATTCCTGGTCCTGTTTCCGGAGCATCCCTTCACTGGTGTGGCCTGTCAGGTTGGTGGAGTCTCTACCACCAATGTGATTTGGTACCTGAAAACCCTCGCATCTGTGGTTGGAGCAGCCACGGGGTCCAGGCAGACACCAGGCATCCGTGAGCTCTGTAAGCAGAGTCCCAACGGAAGTCTTGGGCTCCATCCAGGCTCCCAGGGACAGTGACAGCACCTGGATCCCAGGTGTTCTGGCTGGGGCAGTGTCCACTTCTGGATTTGGCTCAGTGATGCTCCTGAGCATCCTTTGGGATTTGGGAGGCCTTAGCAAGGCACTGTTGGGTCATGCTGCCCCCCCTGACACAAGACTGAGGAACCCCGCATGGCATGCAGTGTCCCGGCCACAAGCTCTCCTTGTCTGCTTGTGGTGGACTCATCTTTCTGCTGTTGCCTGACGTATGTGGACACAGAGTGTGTGGCCCACTGCGGTCTGCAGTGTAGAAAGAAGACAATCTGGAGTTTCAGCCTCTGTATGCCATGTATCTGGTGAGCTTGATTCTACTGCAACACAGTGAGAAACCGATGACGTCTTTGTTACAGATGCAGAAACTGGTGTGTTGGCCCTTACGCTAGCAAAGTGCCATAGCCCCCGTGTCAGGATGGCGGCGAGGCTCCCAAACCTCCTGCCAAGCACCAGGCGCACAGCCCTGCTGGCCCCAGGAAACATAAACCACCACCGGAAGTGGCTGCTGGGACATTGTCCACCTAGATCCAGATAAACCTTATTATGTTGTATCTGCATTTTGAAAATCATTCTTCAAAAAGTTGGCTTATTGCATGACTTTTAAGAGAAAAAAGGTTGCTAATTGCCCTTATATTGATCAGTGGCTTCAGAAAAAAGCTGTGTATATAACTGACTTCTGCGATAGCGTTTTGAAAGAAATGGATGGATCTGAATTAAAAACAACTGTCCCTGAGGACCTCGAAAAAGCAGTGGACCGCGAGCAGTGGATTTGCTTCCTCTTGTTTCAAGTTTCTAGTTTTTCATGTTATAGCAATGAAAGTGAAAAAAAATACAAAATGAAAATTAAATTTTCAGGTTGTAAACATTGATTGCTTCCTGAGTCAGAGCTTCTCTGTGTGGACTTCCTGTCTCCAGAGCCCTCCTGGGTGTGGCAGGGACAGGAGATGTTTATCGGTGCTGCCAACGTGGTCACCACTGGTAATGGATGTCTTTTTCAGTTTGGGCTTAATTTCTCAAAATCAAATAAAATTTTACCCCAATTCTGCTATTCCAGCCTGTCTATCCCAGCTGTCACTGATAGCTGCGTGGGATTCTGACCACCACGTCCCATGTGGCTCATGGATATTTCCGTCCCAAGGCTTTGTTGACACCAGCAAGGGACCAACATACTGTGTCTGGCAATCACCAACCCCAAGGCGGGGGTGGGTGCCAACTCCATCCCACTTTGTAGTCGGTGTGTGAGGTGTGTGCTCCCGTCACAAGCACAAGCTATGTGAGTATCTCGATGCCTGAGAGAGAATCCTCACATGCTCAGACGTCGCTCTGACAAGTGCTATGACTTTGGGACCACGAAAGGTTCAGGGGTCTCAGTGGCCCCTGGTGGGTCTTAGGACACCCTGTGCAGTGTCTGGGGACAGCGCAGACCCAGGCCCTGCAGGGGGTGCTGTTCCCACCTCTAGCTCTGGCTGGGTAACTGACTTAGAAACACAAAAGCCAGTGTCTCCTGGAGGAATGACACCCCGGGCTATCTTGGCCTCTTAAGGCTGTGGATCATTATGGGTGACTGGATAGCCCAGCACTCACCAAGTTTCCTGGAACTGCATGGAGGTTCAGGGTACCCAGGAGACAGGGAGAGCTGCTTCGGTGGCAGCAGTCAGCTCCTCCTGGGCCCTGAGCCCTGTGTTTAGCCTGACAAGCTTCCGAGGTCGGGGTGCTCATCCTCTGGGGCCTGTGTCAGTCCAGTTGGGATGTGACTCCTGAGCACTGCTGAGAGGTCCCCACCGTACGCCTCCAGTGCCCTGGTCTGCAGCCCTTCACAAGCCCCAAGCCCCGAGCCCCGGGCGGCCCTGACCCGGGGTCTGAGGCTCTCCATGCTGGGTTCCTACCCTTGTGTGGCTGTGCCCGGCCACTGCCTCCTGCCACTGGCACAGCTGCTGGCTGATACCATTTTGCACTTCTTTTGTTGCACACAACCTCTCTGCACGGAAGCCCAGATGCGAGTGAAATGGTCACAAAAGAAGTTATCTGGGTTAACTGCGAGCTGAACAGGTTTAAAATTACTGCTTATTGTTTGGGAGCAGATGCAAGCCCCAAACAAATGCAAAACATCCACGCAGATGTGAAGGGAGGATGATTAGAAATCTACCCTTGTCCTGTGGGCAGGGAGAGCAGCCCCCTCTGAGGGAATCCATGGGCAGGGGCACCCTGCACCGGCCAGCAGGGTCCCCTCTGCTGCAGCTCCTCAGTCCTCAGACAGCAGCCCTTGTGCTCCATCCTTGGGGAGGCCTGCTCACACACAGCCACTCTGTTGGCCTTGGTCCCAACGGACAGCTTGAGGCCTGGGGACCTCAGCTCTCCTGTACTCTGTGGCTGTGCTCTCACCTGGCCCCAGCTCCCTGCACTGCTCACTGCATCCAAGGTATCTTTTGCACCCCATGCTTCTTGCTGGCCCTGCTGGTCACTCATGAGCTGCCTCAGCCATCCCCCGTGGGTGTGGGGCACTGTGGTGTTTCAGGTGACAGCACTGCTCTTGGGAGCTGGGTCCAGTCTCCTGGCTCTGATGGACAGAGCGCCTGGGTTCATCGCAGCCCTGTGGGGGATGGGGCCAGCATCCACTGTTAGGTGGACTAGGCAATTCATTAATTTATTTTTTTTTAGCTTTTTTTCTAGTTTTTATTTTTATTCATGTCTGCAGTTGATGATGATCACATTCATACCAGGGCGTGATACCTGTACAGTTTATTCCTCCTCCTTTCCTCTCCCTCTCTCTCCCTCTGTCTCTCGGTCCCCTTTCCTTTTGCAAAAGACCTGTCTCTGTTTCCCATTATCTGTCTTTTACTTTGCTATTTATTTTTATTTATACTTGGGCTTTTCATACAAGAGAAACCATGCAGTGTTTACACTGAGTGTCTGACTTATTTCACTTAACATTCTGGTCTCGAGGTGCCTCCACTGTCCTACAGATGATGCAGGTTTACCCTTCTTTATGGCAGAGCAGTGCCCCATGGTGTAATCACCGCATTTTCCTGTTCCATCCATCCTGTGACAGACGCACAGGCCGCTTCTGAGATTTACCTCCTGTGAGTGAGGCATTTCAGTGAGTGCGTCAACTCCGCTCTCTTCAGAGTAGCAGTCACTCTGTCACAACTTGCTAAGACCTGAGGGTAAACTATGGTGGTGGCCACACAACACCTCAATCAGGACACGAGCAACTGAGCGACTCCGGGCCAGAATGGGGCGTAGGTTCCTTGCTGGCCAATCGGTGTGGCTGAAGGGAAAGTGCTTTTCGCCCCACCCCAGTAACATACTCCTCCTTTCTGTGTTCAGCCTTTCAGGGTGGAGCTGGCATTTGTGGGCAGGGGAGGTGATATTTACTCTAGAAATCTGACTTCTGACTAATGGAATATTTTTTGACTTTGTTGTTTATTTTATCTAATTTGTTTTTCATTGCCAGTACAGATGTGCATATTTATCCTAACTC